ACCCGAGTTTCTATGATTGTCTGTACCATTCAACACTGGTGTCCGCAGCCTCAGATTGCTCGTCGCGCTCTCCGCTTGTGTTCTGCCTTGTTTTGGGGTGACCAGGCCAATCTGCACTTGCCTTCCCCACTGGAGCCACAGCCAAGTTGTCTTGCTTGCTTCCTTGGATTCCACGCTTGCTAAGGACCTGCAACAGCGTGCCCTATGCCCCCATTTCCTGCACCTGCCAAGAGCCTAATGCACCACTAGAGGGCTTGCGTCGGTAGAACAGTCCAGTGCATTTCTCGCTGCTAGCTGAACATATATTTGGAGCTTCAGAACAGTCATGGCTGTGCCTTGCTTGTGATGTTGCCCTGTGCAATCAATCTCCATCTTTCGAAGAGTATACATGTAGCCCAAAGCCAACATGCGCCAAAACCTTGGGACATCCTCCGGCCTCCGGCTAGGACTCCCCATGGCATCTGATGGGCTATGCTTTGAAGCTCACCAAGCCCAACCTTGACTCCTCGTGTCTGGAGTCTCAGAATCCACAGAAGCCCAAGCCCTCGCCGTGCGGCCCTTGCCCAGTCCGTGCCTTGCCGTGTCTGGCCTCCCACTCTCGCCACTCCGCATCGATATCGATGAGAGCGCTGCCAGGGACGCGCGGCCGCCGGAATCCATGCGAATTGGGCCACAGTGCAAACCTTACCATCTTGAAAATGCTTGAAAGAGAAGAAGAGAAGAAAGCGACGGCAACTATGTTCATGCTCACCCCAAACAGTTCCGTACAAAGAATACACCAAACAGACACAATTGACCTATGTGTCCGTCTAAATGGGTTAGCTTGCCCAGTTTCGGGGGGGGGGGGGGGCAAATAAAGAAATACGTGGGCTCCATTGAAACCTCGCCTTCGCTGGCTGTGCTTTGATGGCGAATCTCTATCAGCCTCAGACGGCAAGATCTGGAGTTGCCCAACGAGCAGATCTTAAGAAGGTTCAAAGCCTGGGGCGAACAGCGGAGAGCACAGGTGATATAGGCAGACATCTCCAAGCCCAAGCCTTTGCCGGCTTTGGACCCTATCAGGGTTGATCAATATTCCTGGCCCCCAAATGCCCCAAATGGGCAACGTTTCCAATTTAGTGGTAATATCAAATCGTGGTTTTCCAACCAATGGTCATCCCATACGGACCTTTTGATCAACCGTTTCCCGCCTAGCCATTCGACCCAAAGCAACTCTTCCGACACTTGGCCAGATCTGCCACGAAGCTGGCATAGCCGCAACCCAACCCGAACCAACCGCCCCATGCCAAGCCCAAGCAACCCTAAACCACGCAACACCAACCTTAAACCAACCACAAGCCCAAAATAAACCCACCCTAAACCAACTCTGAACCTAGCCCGTAAGCTAGGATGGCTGCGGCTACGGCAGAGGCACTTGAAGGCATACGTGAGGCTATGGCCTAGGTCGCAGCTCAACCCTTGACCCTGGGCCATGGACGCACGCTGAGTTGCCCTTTTGATAAGTTGAAAAGGCAAGGATTGAACGTCTTCTTCAACCAGCCGTACTCCAGGCAATAGTTTCTTGGCAAGACCTCGACAAACTCAGTGGAGTTAGGTCTGCGCAACCCCGTAACCTATCAAAAGTAGACAACTGCGGCCTGCGGCTCCATGAGATCTGCATGGAACCTCCCCGAGCCAGCGGCGTCCCTCCGGCTATCCACGGACTCGGCCCTCGCCAGCGGTGTTTGGGGTTAGCGGGTGAGTCTCAACTAGGGGCACAGCTGCAGCCGCAAACTGGAATTCATCTAAGACTCTTTCAAACAAAAGACACGTGCTCTTGGCAGCATCCACAATAGATCAAGGAAGGGTCTTACATCCTTTGTAACCCATTCAACCCCCCACTCAAGCGTACCTTGAAGAATCTTCTCCCGAAAAACACCCCACAAGTTCAAGCAGGTCGGTTCAGTCCTCGGGGTTCAGTTCCTGTCAACCTTGAGAGGAAATCGGCTGCCAGTCAAATCACTCTGCCAACAGTTGGCCAAGTCATCGGAAGGGTTTGCTCCGCAGCGAAACCCTAGCCTTGGCGCCTTTGGCGGCAAAGAGGGCAAAACCTCAGCCGCCAGGGCGTTTTTGTGTGTTGTTCGTGAAAGCAGCACCAAGAACATTGAGCACTGTGTATTGGTTTTTGATTGATGCAAGCACTTGCTTCCGCTTCGTTGCCAAGCTTCTTTGCAATTTCCGGAACTCTGGGCTTCAGACGGGAAATTCTCAGGTGCGGTACACCCAAATTCCAAAGCTCTTTAAATGCTTGGAGCATTGAGCAGTGGCTCAAAGGTCACATGGGATCCAGCTGTACTTCCTCAAACCGCGTGGGGGTCATGCAGGAAGGGATGTATCACCAAGTACAGGGTTCGTTTCTTTGACTATCTTGCGGTAGACTTAAACCCAGGGGTTTCCCTCTTCCCTGGGTTTAAGTCCGCCTTGGGGTGGTCTAAAACACACAGAACCCTGCATCACTATCACCCCTTCCCGGCCAAGGCGCTGCGTGAGGATTCCTCACCGAGACATCAAAGGAGGGCACCTGAGGCTGGTTCAATCGATCTCTGGAATGACCATCCCATCCACTCAGAAAGCACCATGAAGTGCAGGGATGTGGGACAAATGGAGGCAGGGACAGAGTGGAGTGGACACAAATTTGCCGAAAAGCCTCGACAGCAGCCTCGAATATGCCGGTACCTGCCTGTTGTTGCACACCCCGAATTTGTTTTGAGGTACTGTATGCAAAAGAGCAAACGCTCGGCCGCCGAAATGACTGGCGAAAAGTCTTTCTATTGAGTTTCGTGATGATCGGCAGGGGCTTGCTGCCTTAAAGCAACTTCACAAGGTCATCATTGGCCTCGGCATAGGGCTTGTTCTTCCAAGGAATTGTTGTGGTTGTTGTGGTTGGTGTGGCTCAATGTAGCCAATGTGTTTGAGTAGTACTCGTTCGCCAGGTTTGTCAAAGGGTTCGCTGGCTTCGCCCTGGCATAAATGGCTTCGGGGTGCGTGAACAACGGTCGCACTTTGCTTCTCTAGTGCCGTATCATTCCATCCACCGGGTTGCCCCCTCAAAATAACCCATAGCATTCGAAAAACATGACCTCGGGAATAAGACAGGAGAGCTGTTGTGCGAAGATCAGAGTTTGGGGGCATCTCCAAGCTCAAATCCCTGTCTTGTACTGCAATCGCATGTTCTTTTCGCTGTTGACCACGCATGCGGAGACCCAAGTTTCTGCGCAGGCGTCCAAAAAAACCACTTTGGCATTTGCACAACGCCGCCCCCCTTCCCTTTTAAACAAAAAATCGAAGGTGTGTGAACCTATCATCCGTGCGCGCGTTTGTGTGTCTGGTGAGTGGCTCCCCATCCCCGCCTCCCAGAAGCTCCGCTTCGGGAGCGCGGGCAGCTGCGGCCTGAACCATCAGGACTCCATGGCAACATTCGCCACGCAGGCATCACGAAGGCGAAAAAACTAATGTATGGAATGATGCAATGTCTATCATGTGCGGACTAGACTAATGTGTGTATGTGTATATATATATATATATATATATAATTATAGCACATATATATATATATATATGTATATTAGCATAATACAATAATATATACATATATATATATATATATGTTATATTTACAGTCAGGTAGTCACCCACACGGCAGGGGATACTCAGATCAGCTTCAAAGAAGTAAGTCGCCGATGCTGTCTGCATGTCCATACTACCCCTTTTTGGAGATTTGGAATCCACGTCATGCAGGTTGCAAAACACTCCACCCCTAAAAATAGTCATGCAGAAATCATAATTTGGAGCCAAACATCGGCCGTAGAAGTTTCCCAACGACCCTTCCAAAAGCCGCCGATTTTCCAGTCCATGAGGTCAAGAGGCAAAGACGTAGTTCACAAACATTTTCCCGGTGTCTCTTCTGTCCGCAGCTCCGCTTCACTTCTCTTCCCAAAGGCCCCCGGCAGCTGCTGCTGTGGCGGCTGCGAAAGCAAACTCGGGAGCTGCAGCAGCGGTTGGTACCTCGATTCGACACCAACTTGCTGGGCCGGGGTCTGAAGGGAAAAATGGTTGCTTTGCCAGCAAACCACCGCTCAGCCAACCAAAAAATCAAGCAATGGTTCCGCTCGGTTTTGCAAAACATCCATAGGCAGAAAGGAGGTCGAGGAATGCTGTCCAGTCTCAAACAGCGGGCGCTGCCTAGGGGAGTGACCAGCTTTCTGCGTCCCAGGCGATGCATCACGAGAATCTGACGTGGAAAGAACTAGAGTGAGAGCCCAGAGCTTCGAGCTTGCTCCGAGCTGCGGCTGCATTTCATGCACCACAACTTCGAAGGGCTTTCAGGCAAGTCGGAAAGCTGTGAAATCCGCGTTCCATGATGCCCCATGAGCCATTGAATCCGTGGACGTAAATGAGCCCATCGTTTCAAAGCCTACATGTCTCGTAGGTGTCCGATGATCTTTGAAGCCCGAAACATACCAAAACCCGAAATTGGCTGGCTCCGTAACAATGCCCTGCCCGGAATAGTGGCGCGGCGCAGATACACTGCTCCCCAAGCTTCAACCGCTGCGTGGGACTGCGAGCTTTTGGAAAGCTTCGGACATGTCGCAGACCAATCATGGGTGAAACGTAGAAAACTGGGCATCATTTGTTGCCTCTGGGAGTGCTGACGTAAGAGCAGTCTGCCAATGGTTGGATTCGGCATGGCGGGTTCTGAGTTGGCTATTGGCTGGCTAGCGGCTTGACTATAAAAATGCTTATCCGTCCATTCATGGCTTCTAGGAGTATCGTGTTAGCCTCCCCTTATTGGTTTGCAATGTTTCACACCTGTAAAAACATTGCAGTGTTCCAGACCTGCAGAACATTGCAATGTCGCCCACCTGAAGAACAAGTACAGTAAAAGGATGAGCGCTTGCAAAACGAAAAGGCTGGTGGTTGGTTGATTTCGACTCACGTTCCTCCACAAGCGTCGGCTGCTGTCACAGTGGGATCTTGGTGCCGTGCAGCTGAGTAATCGACCCAACGCGGTCGGCGCGAGGACGCGCTTCACGGGAGCGGCTGGATTGACTGGAACGCCTGGAGCGGGATCCACTGCGAGAGCGGTGGGAGCGGGAGCTGCGGGAGCTCCGGCTCGAAAGCGAGGCACGCAGGGAATAGCCCAGATCCGCCGGTAAGCTTCGGAGGTTCGATTCCGTCAAAGTCGCGTTGGGAATCACCATGCTGACAACCAGGCAGTCCAACGCTTGGTCGTGCTCGATGGTCACTGGTGCTGTCCGCTCGCCAAGGCCCAACAAATCGAAGCTCACAGCAGCCACCTGAATGGAAAAACACCCCATCCCACTTTTCCATTGGTTGGCTCATAGCTATGCTATGTCCGTACTGGATAACACGGTGTTGGTGTTGTTTGGTGATTATATATACTCATGATATAACCACGAAATGAGCAACCAACATACTGACAGGGCTTCTTTGGGCATATTTTGGGCGCTCCTTGGTCTGGTCTGGCTGCAGCTCCAGTTCCGCAGCGAGTTCGTTGCCTATGAGCTGCAATTGTTGGCCTAAGGAGAACCGAGTGTCCGGGCTTGCGATGTCCAGAATAGAGTCCTTGAGTTCAAAAGGCATCAAACATGATGCAACAACTCCGTTTAGAAAAAATAACCACAAGGCACTGCAGTTTGCATGGGCTTTCAGCTGCATCAACTTCAGGAAATTGAACTTCTGGAACTTGGGGAATTGCAGCAAAAACCTTCATTATCCACCATGTCAGAGTTCATTCAGACGTTCATCAAAGTGTACATGTCAAAGTGCCTTCCAATTCTTTCCAAGCATCCGGCATGCTATCACCCGGGGGCAGCTGATGGCAAAGACGCTGCAGATCATCACTCATGAAGTGAACTGCCCACGTGTACGGATCGAAGAGCGCCAACAGATCCTCATCCCCTTTGAAGGTGCTTGGATGTGATGGAGCTGACGGACGACGTTCCAAGTCTTGTATCTCACGAATACCCACCAGGAAGCACCTGGCAGTGGGCCATGTCACCCCGATTCCTGGTAAACATCCCAACATCAACCGACTTGATTACATTGAGAATAGTGTATGAATCCTTGGCCTCTCACTTGTCAGGTTGTCGAACTGCACACAAATCAGTTCCACCTTCACACGGTTGAAATCCGAGTCCGACATGTCAGCATTCAATGCCACTGCGGACTGGCACGTGGAACTCCGCAGTTGCTCTGACACGCGGGCCCTGTCTGCCTCGTGAAAGAAGTCCAACAAAACTGCCTCGCGCAAACCACCTCCAGGTCTTTGCGTTCGCAATAGCATGGAGGAGAGCTGCGGCGAATCCTCGCAAAGTCACGGCAAGCTGGCAAACTTCCGCCTACACATCCCACACTTTGAAGCGGTTTGATTTGCGCATGGTTGCTTTGTCTTTTTGCAGATTGGTCGCTTACTGTGAATCGCGCAACGTGTTGAAATGGGTACCCAAAATGATATCCTGGTGAATGGAAACGACTAAAACCTGCAGTCCATGAGGGTTTAATTTTGATCCATATCCGCACACACTTTTCACATACTTGAGGTGCCAAGGATCGTGACAAAGTCTCAAAGTGTGATCCACCTCTAGCACTGCATCGTAGCACGCAGTTAGCAAAGAGGAGACTGCTCCCAGCTCCACTGTCCGTTTTTGCAAGTCCATCTTCAGAGAAACATTCTGCAGTAGAAGCTTTCGCAGGCTTAAAATGCCTGCAAGCATCAACAGAAATATAGGGACCAGATTGGCCATGTTAATGTCCGACCCAACGGCATCTTGAGAATCTTCAGAATGTCTGAGTAGTTGGACTGCTTGGAGAAAGTTGACGGTTGTGCACAAGACCACGCATGATGCGCGCATCGCCAGCACGGCATATAGGAAGCGACCAGCAAAGGTGAAGGTGATCACGTCCCTGAAGTCGACGCTGTAGGACATCGATGAGATTAAAATCGCGGCATCCACGACCAAGATCGTGGCCACATAGAAGACATCCTGGCTCCAGGGATTGATCAATCGTGGGCACCAAACCAGCACCAGACCCAGCGAGGCCATGCAGAGAAGTGCAAGATCAAAGGCTGGACGAGACCGATCCCCCAGTTGCACTGACAGCAACCGGACCAGGGTTATCACAAGAACCATCCACCAAGCTCCACGTGTCCAGGTGCAGCGCATCCTTGCCAGTTCCTGCTCACTTTGATCCGAAGCATCAGCCTTTTCCAGGCACCGTCTTTTCCTATTTTTCCACTGCTCCAGTCCTTGCTTTTTGACACAGGCCCACACGGATCGAATGGACCATGTTGCTGGCCGAAAAGAGGCCGCCAATACGATCAGCTTGATCAGAAGACCCAGTTCCAGCACCAAGATGGCACGCTCCACGGAGTCCGTGACGCCTTCCACAAAGCCTTCCATGGCGTCTAAAAGCGAGCTTGGGGCTAAGGCCTGTGACAAAAGCTCGAGCCATCGGTAGTAGGAATCTATCAAACCACAGGCTGTGCCCATGCAATGAAGCCCAGTTCGGAGCCTCAGCTTGTCACACTCTCCATGTCCCAAATGTGAAGTCCCGTACAGTGGCAAGTCTTCAAGGATTGGACATATCAACATGACCGATATGTGGATGAAACCATGGGTCTCAGGATGTAATTCATACTCATGTTCCGGAATGCTCGTCCTTTTAGCAGCCGGACCACTTGTCCCATCACTGTAAACTCTTGGCAATCGTCCGTTTTATGCATCACGACCTCAACTGCGAGCGCCGAAGTCGATCTAAAAACGCAACCACCTCACACATGCAACCTGGTCTCGGATGAACCATAGAGATGTCCCACCCCAAAGAGTATACAGACGCAGGTCCGTGATGATTGCTCGCCTGCCAATCCAAGACATGCAGGCCAAGCCAAAAAAAGCAAACCTACCCTAAACTCTAAGCCTTTTAGCAGCAACTGACAGCAGTTTGGCCTTGTTTCACAAAATGCTCACGGCGACTGGTATGAGCCTGTTGTGCTAGAAATGCGCTCACATAGTCTATGCTTCACGGCTGCCATCACACTTGCCCCGATTGACCTGTACCAGTTTAACAAGTAACAAACCACCCAAGTGCAATGTTGACCCCAGTTGTGAGGGTATATGGGTCAACATTAGGGGAAACATCCCAACGTCCCTTGAAAACATCGCCGGCTGTCGGAGGATCCCCACAGGAGCTGCTGCTGCAGCTGCTGCAGGAAGGAGGGCTGCGCCGGCGCCGGCGCCCTGAGACAGGTGGAGTGGCGCCTCCGACTCAAACCTCTCCATGTTGGGAAGCAAAATTTGACAGGTGTGGTGCAAATAGGCCCGAAACTCTCACTGCTTTGGACAACTCGCTTGCCAACTGAGGGGTGCCCATCAAATCCTTGTTCAAGGCTGCAAGAGGCCAAGAGAGCAGGAACCTGCCTCTTTCTCTTTCTGTTGTTTTGTCTCTCTCTTTGCTTTGTTGGGGGCACCTGACGTCCCATACTGCTTCGCATACGGAAAAAAAGATGCGCAGCCGACAGAAATGCGTCGCATTTCGAGAATCTGCTCAGAATCGGCTGGGTGTGTCGAGAAGCAGAAACTTGAAACAACGTTGAAAACTCCACATCATGAGTGGTCACGCTCGCGTGACCCAGCTCACGCTCAGTGGTCAAAGACCCTGCCACCTTCGGGAAGCTGAGTGTGGCACGCTTGCAGGTTGAAAGCCTCAGCTCCAACGAAAAAGGCGCCCGAAGCTTGGGATAGGAAGGTGGTCTTGCCGAGGCCTGGGCGTCTGTGCCCTGCACCATTCTGCATTTGGATCCCTCACTTTCCTGAACCAAACCACGGTCAAATAACCGGATTGAAAAAAACCCGAGAATTGATCAAGCCAGACATGTGCCACGTAAAACTGTGGTGATCACTCTAGTACTGTTCTGGCTGTGCTTGTAACGTGTATTGCATCCAAAGCCATTCGGCGCAATGTGACTAGCAGCCCCAGCACTCCCAACACACAGCACCCCTTCCGTTCGGAAAGTTCAATGTCAAAGAGCAAAAAACATATTGAAATCAAACAACATGGCGCTTCAGCCCCTGATGTTTTGTCTTGTCGCACTATGCCAACTATTCGTTGCATTGACCTAAAGCGGATAAGTTGTCAAAGATTCGATGCAAAGATGCAACTGGGGTCAATGTCCAAAAATTGGTGAACACAGTGGCTTGATCACGTCGCAAAACCTGTTTGATGTGTTCAGTCAAAAAGAGCCTAGAAGGGCACAACCCAGCCTCTGTTTTCGGCATCATTCGCCGCAAGTGAGGTAAAATCCGCTGTCCAGGGATGGTAACCAGAGTAGAGGGCAGCGGTTCAATTTCGCCACTTTAAGTCTTCAGGGAAGCAACTGCGCACCCCTATGATTCAGTCACACATACCTATATGCGAGTCGCAGCTCACGTCCGCAAGATGATCACTTGCAATCATGAATCATGGTTTCATCACCCTACACTCCTGAAGAGGACTTGCAACTTCACTTCAATGGATTTGCGCCCTTATATATTTGCACGTCGGATTGCGGTACAATGCAACAATTGGAGCCAACACGCCTTTGACTAGTCGCTGTGATTGATATCTTGGAATTTGCTAAGACATTTCAATGCTGAGCTTCTTGGCATAAACTTGGCCAACGGGACACATCCTCTGTCAGGATTCCTGTGCTTTGAATTTGGCTTTGCGGAGCCGGAACTGCGGCCGGCGCGAAAGGCACCGCGTTGGGTGAAACGGAGAACCTGGGAGCGGTGAGCAATGGAGCTTCCGTGAGTGTCCGGCACTTTCATTCGCTTTCACCTCCCGTCCAAACTCTCCAAGCAGGGATGGCTCCTCGATAAGCTGAGATTTCAATGCCTCTTGAAGGTGTCAGCTGACTTTATGCTTTCACACTGGGATAAATTCTTACCTGGGCTCCATTTGTGACCGGGCCAGTGGCCCCCGAGGTTTACGGCCACGAGTCACCCAAAATGTTATCTTCATGCCCACATTTGCATGAGCCCTCTCGTACCTCCACCGCACCTTTTCGCACAAAATGAGGGTCTCACTGCAGAAGTTAGCCCTCAACAAGAGATCTGTCTGGAAATGAATGTGTGTGTGCGAGTGCGCATGTATCAGCGTTTGGCTTCTTCCTTGTGAACGTGGCTATACTGCTCGACCATGAGGACTGGTTCACCAACTTCACAACTGTGTTGCAGGATTCCTTGCGGCCAAAAAGTATCTGGGTGAGGTGCAAGTTATTCAACTCAACCCGGAATACCCAACAAATCGTGTCTCCACGCGGGTTACCAGCTCATCTTGGCCATTTCGAATGGACAAACAGCGTGAGGCCTGCATTGCTGCCAGATAGAGTTGACCATCATCTCTGCCGGAAGTTGAGCAAAAAAGGAACGTCGAATTCCACCCCGGCCAAGATGGGGAAAGCCCAAAGCTCGGGGCTTCTTCTTCCGGGCTCCAAGGGGCTTCCTCGTCTCGCCCCTGCGGCTTCCTGCCGAGTCGCTGTGCCGGCTCCGGCGGCCTCTGCATATGGTACGACGCCGGCTGCACCTGCGCAGCATGCGGCGTCCTGAACCTGGGGTGTGCGGCGCGCGTGTTCGACTGGTGAAAAATTGAGCAAGGGAAGCGACATTGGCTCACTTCCCGAGTGCATGGGCCAACCAAACAAACCCAAACTTTCTATTTATCACCAAACCCAAAAAGTAGAAAGTCCGGGAACTCAGGAAGTGAGTTTAGGCCACAGGTGCTTTGATGAAGCATTCTGCTAACATTTGACTTGCATAACGGCATCATGGCAAACTCTCGGATCAGGAAATCAAAATGCCAGGGAGGCACTCAGTTGAGGGCTCTGGTTTCAAATGGGGGCCCCAGCGTTTCTTTGTTTCCACGCCGAGTTCTTGCCGGATCCGTCCGCCCCATTCAATGGATCTGCGGGCTCGTCGCCACAATCAATCCATGAGGAAAAGAGGACGCCTGCTTTTGTGCTGGTTGAATTTTGGGGTTGTACTTGCAAGGTGCCCATCTCACAAAAAAGTAAAATGGATGCCAATCGGCAATTGCGGTCAGTACTGTAGCTGCAATCGCTGGCAATTCCATCTATGTTCAAGACAGGCACGTTGAGCAGAGTTTCCTTGAATCAATGCGGCAAGGCACGTAACCAGGAAGGCTGCCTTGGTCAGTTGCCCACTGGACATGCTTTGGGGTGTAGATTCTCCATCTATGTGGAGTGTGCGTCGCCGTTCGGTCAGCACTGAAAGCACAACTTGGGAATGCTGATCCTCCATGCCAAGCCCTGTGGCTTTGGCAAATGCAAGGGTATCCCGTCCAGACCTTACTCAAATGCTTCGGTGATCGGAGAGTTGCCCTCAATGCCTCGGGCATAATTTTGCCATTGAACTGTGGTCCTGCACAAAGGGAAAGCGAGTTGATAGAACAAACCTCCTCCAATTGGGCAGTTATGTAAAGAACAGCACCCACCCGAACCAGCCAGCCCCGCACACGGCTAGACTCAACCAGGCTGCTGGTCTCGCTCCTCCTGCTTCTCCCGCACTCGCTCTTGCTCCTGGCTCCGTTGCGCCCCCCGCAGAAACGGTCCTCTGAAAGTGGGGTATGGCCTCCTCCGGCAAGTATTCCCAGGAAAGCAAACGTGGGCGGGGTGCAAGAAAATGATGCATCAAAGCCCATGCTATATCTGAAAGACTCTGAAGGGTTGTGTGCGTGTATGAGCTTCCCGCTGGATTGTGTTGTTCCACTTGCCATCCAGCATGCAAGGCAACGCAAAGCAAGGCGAGGCAAGCAAAACACAGGCAAGCCAAGAAGAAAGCCAAGAAGCAAGCCAAGAAGCAAGGCAAGAAGCAAGGCAAGAAGCAAGGCAAGAAGCAAGGCAAGAAGCAAGGCAAGAAGCAAGACAAACAAGACAAGCGAGGCAAGGCAACAAAGAAAGGCAAGCAAGGCGAGGCAAAGGGCAAGGCAAGTAGGGCAAAGCAGCAATGCAAGGCATGCAAGGCAGAAAAGCAAGGTGAGCAAGGCAAGAAGCAGGGCAAGAGGCCAGGCACGGCAAACAAGCGAGGCAAGGCGAAGCAGCAAGGCAAGCAGCAAGGAAAGCAAGACCAAGCAAGCACGGCAAGTCAAGGCAAGGCAGGACAAAGCAGCAAGGCAAGCAAGGCAAGCAAGCACGGCAAGTCAAGGCAAGGCAGGACAAAGCAGCAAGGCAAGCAAGGCAAGCAAGGCAAGCAAGGCAAGCAAGGCAAGCAAGGCAAGCAAGGCAAGCAAGGCAAGCAAGGCAAGCAAGGCAAGGCTTGCGGCAAGGCAAGCGGCAAGGTAAGCGTCAAGCAATGCAAGGTTAACCCTGCCCGCCGCCCCCGGACAAAAAAAAGGCACGTCCTTAGTGAATGTCAGTTGTTCCCTTAGCCGCGCCTTCTGGGCCTTGCGCCGTTCCTTCTCGGCAATCTGCTCATCCAGGAGCTGGACCTGTTTCCTGCGTGCGGTCGGGATGCCACGCAAAATTGACTTCGCTTCAAAGAGTAAAGGAGTAAATTATCGACCTCGCTTCGGCAATTCTGCTTGGCTGTGACAGTGCGTTTGCTGTGGATCACTTGCGAGTCCAGCACAATTCGCAGGTGGGGGATGGGCTGGGGGTGGGGGACGACAAGAATCCGGGTGCGAGAGCACGTGCGGGCCATTGCTTAGATTTTGGTTTTAGCTCTGCCATCATGTGCTATGCAATTTGCGTCAGCGCTTCTCGGGCTGGAGCAAAGATCCGTTACAGCTCCGATACAGCATCCGTTACACCTTCGTTACAAGTCCGTTGCAGCTCCGCTACAAGTCAGTTACAAGTCCGTTACAGGTTCGTTACAGGTCCGTTACAGGTCCGTTACAGCTCTGGTACAGGTCCGTTATGGTCCGTTACAGGTCCGTTACAGCATCTGTTACAGGTTCGCTGCAGCTCCGTTACAGCATCTTTTACAGATCCGTTACAGGTCAGCACCCCGTCGCTCCCACCGATTGAGTGACCCGGTGAATAATTCTGACTGACGCGTCGGAAAGCTTCATGAACCTTATCACTTAGAGGAAGGAGACAAGGCTTCCGTTTACAGATCGTCACAGGTCCGCTACAGGTCCGCTACAGGTCCGTCACAGAACTGTTACAGGTCCGTTACAGCTCCGTCACAGGTCCGCTACAGGTCCGTTACAGCTCCGTCACGGGTCCGTCACAGGTCCGCTACAGGTCCGTTACAGCTCCGTCACAGGTCCGCCGCAGGTCTGTTGTAGGTCCGGTACAGCATCCGTTACAGCTCTGTTGCAGCCACCGGCATCCAGACATTTGCGGTCATAGCACGGGGGCCCGAATGATGGTAGAGCTTAAACCCAAGCTTAGATGCCAGCACTACTTACTGCCCAACGCGCAGCTGTATCTAGCTTTGCTTGCCTTTTGCGGCTGTGAGCACATGCTGGTGGGCCGCAGCATGTTCCCGAAAGACATCGCTTGCTTGCTTGCTTGCTTGCTTGCTTCCTTCCTTCCTTCCTTCCTTCCTTGCTTGCTTGCTTGCTTGCTTGCCTGCCTGCCTGCCTGCCTGCCTGTCTGCCGATCTGCCTGCTTGCTTGCTTGTTGCAAAGAGAGATGACTGGAATACGCTGTGCGAAGGCACAAGGGAGTTGCCACGACTGAGCTACATCACCAGATTGATCACAGCAGGCCGTGCGTGCAACATGTAGACGCTTGGGAACAACACAAGGCAGCAATCCTGATGCTCGTTCTCCTTGGCTTTTGACATCAAAACAAAACTGCCCGTGCTTCTGACATCGACACTCAGAGTCCTCTTATATACCCCACACAACGCCCTAAACAAGCGGCCAACAACTGAGTGTGGTACTCGGCCCGCACCCGGGAACCGCAATCACAGGGGGTCCTTAAGTGGATGAGAAGAAAAGTGGCGACTATCCTGTTGGAAACGCAAAGAACGGCACAAACATCGGATGGACAGATGGCAGATAATTCCGTGTCACCAATCCGGCAAGCATGTGAATGAGCGTAACTCGCATACAAGTGAGCAACCACGTTTGTCAGTTGACTGATCTTCGTGTAACTGTTCTGACAACTCTCCGATGCAAGGTACGCGGCCAAGCCTGACCACAGCGGCGCGTCTCTGCTCACTATCATACCTGGGGAAAGACGGACTCGAATGGCTCGAATGTGTCTTTCCAAGAACTCAATCTGTTGATCTGAAGCCGGGGAACACATCCTGGTCAATCCATGTGGGGTTTGTTAATCCGAGGTGGCGCCCATCTTGAGCAACCGCAATCAGCCAGATCTGGCTTTTTTCCAGGACCCCGCTTCCCCACGTCGTCCGAACCCTCCCAGACTAGCTCGCGCACGAGCCGAGGCCGTCAAAGAGCCCCATCAAGCGGGCCCCCGCATGCCGCGGCGGCGGCTCGCACGAGGCACGAGGCTGGCCGCACGGATTTGCGCGTGCGGTCCGGGACCCGCAGCCCGGGTTTGGTGAGGGGGAGGCCACGTTTGGTCGTGGAGTCCTGCTCTAGTCTTTGCTGCACTGTAGCAGAAAAACACCTCAGCAGACCAGGGTGTATTCATCTCAATTTATGGCTGAGGTCATTGACAAGAAAATGTTGAAGAGGAAGGTCACTGATGATGACTTCAGTCTGTGCAGCTTATAAATATGGCTCGACGACTCTTGCAAGTGGCCATCACAACACTGCATAGAGGCCCGCGCTCATGGAAACATGGCATGTCAACTAAGTCGCCTGAGCCAAAGCACATAAGCCGGCAATTGGCGTGCTGGCCAGGCTTGGGCGTTCCTTGCAAAAACACTCAATTAGTCTTCCAGGGTCAGAACATGACGAGATTGGTGCTTGGGCCCAGCACAGTAACAAATTTATTCCATGCTTGTATGGAGTAAAAAGATGCTGTAAGTTTGGTTCGTTTGTCCAAGCCCTTAACCACCAAACCTGGGGGAGATGGTCCGTGGTTCTCTCAGTGGAGATGCTCATGCTCGAACTAAGTCGCAAGCAACAAGTCCCTGCAAACAAAAGATTCTCACAATTCTTACACGGGAACCTATCGTCTATCGGCGCCTCCTTTTGTTGCACTCACATATGACCAACTCACAACTAGCCCGGCACTGTCACAGCTTTTATTTTGGCAGCCGCAAGGTCTACGAGCGCCTTTGGGCGCAGACACTCTCGGTCGTTAACGAAGGCGGGAAGGGGATGCCTTCGATTTGTTGTACAAAAATAGCCGTATTAGTATATATAACTTGGCGATTTCTGCGTTGCCTTTTTTTGGGTGAGGGGAAGTTGCACGTGGAAACTCCCAGTTCCCACTTGCAACATCCTGAGGTTTCGCATGTTGCGACATCCGCAAAGCAGCCTAGGGGGCTTGACCCGAGTCTCTTGGCGCTCTATGGCCCTTTCTAAGCAGCATCTGAAACATCACGCAAGCCTGGCGCGCCAGCTTAGCAAATCCAAGAAGTCGTTTGACCTTCTGTCACAAGCAATAGCTCTACGGCTGGCAAGTCTTGATATGAGCTCTGAACACCAATTGGAGGAGGGCTGGGCCGCCATTGCCTCAATGACCCCTTCCGTGCCAAGAAAAACAAAGAATTCAAAGGCCCCACACAGCAGACTGCGTGGCTGTGCACGGCCTGTCTGTAGAGGCTGCGGATGGAAAAGCCTTCAGCTCTCATCCTCAGTCCTGCAAGCGAGGTCGGAAAGCGCAGGTGAAAGGCAAAAGAGCCTCGAGCTGTTGGATCCAAAGCAAAACCGATCCAGCAACCCACGCCGACCCCAAAAGCAGCTGGAGCTCCAAGAAAGCCGAGCAAGACCAAACGCAAGGCCCTTCAAGGCCGGCTCCGCCGATTCGCGAGAGAGCGAATCCGCACCCATAGACCGTTGGATCACGAGATGGAAACATGTGAGCATCCAGCGACTTGGATTCCACTTACCATAAGACCAGGTGGTAAACCAACCCAGCAAGACATGGCCCTTTCTGCACTGATCATGTGACTTCAGGTCAAAGAGTTGTCAAGAGGACTGTGGAACCACTTGCCCGCGTGTGTTCTATGGTCCCACATGAAATTATAAGCCATGCTGCTGGGGCGAGGAGCTGAACTGAGAGCCCATCCCATCCTCTGGAAAGTCGCCTTCTTCATCCTTCCTGGGCGAGAGCGGTGTGATGACTGTGGATGATCTGTTTCGTGATCTGCTTGATGCGTCAAATCTCAAATTGGGAATCGAATCCAAAGAAATCCATGGCCAGGCTTTAAGCTTTCTATCTTGGCCTTGATTATGTCTGTCAGGGTTCGCTCGAAATGGTTGGACATGCCCTGAACTTCTTGGCTTCGGCTTTGGTATGAGCAACCTGCCTAGGCTGATTTCAGGCTGTGATGTGTCCTTCAGTGTCCAACAGGTACTCGGTGGTCATGTTTTCTGGGATGTTTTTAGGGTTTACTTTCAGGATCATTCATTGTGCAGGCCGTTCCCCAGGCTACTTTCAGCACCAGGAATCCTTCCCCTAGCTGCCAGTCTTACCCGCCACTCCAAGCTGATGGAACCAAATCATGTTCCAAGCATCCGAAGCTTCGAATGCTTAGGGCACGCAGTGGATGGCTTGGGTGACTGGCCCAACTCGACTCAAGCGCTTGAATTGCCTCGAACACCAACTGCCTGCTTTCTGCTTGCAACAAAAAGAAGCCGGTGACCGGCAGCCCAGTCTTGCTTGCACTGCTCTACCTAAGAGCTCTGAATCAAAAGCCGACACATGAGCTGCTAGGTGTTTTTGGCCTTTGTTGCTTTCTTCGCGATGCCCATCGGACGTCCAGCGAGCAATGCAAAGAAACATGATCTATTCACAGCATGAGAACGACTAGATGGGACAGGCTGCGAGAAAAGCCCGGGCGCAGACGTCTGATCCCTGGACCACTTTGGTGACCGGAACCAACCCACGAGTTTCCGGTCGTAGCACTGAAGCTTCAGCGCAAAGCCCGCGGCGCGCTGAGACCCGCGCTGGCTGCGACGCCCTGTCATCGTCATCTCTTTCAACTCCTGCGGTGAGAGAAACCCGGAAGCATGATGCTCAACAAAGCCAACGTATTTTGTGAAGCTGAATGGTACTCTTAGGCTTGCTTCGGGATCCTTGTTGATTTGTTGCATGGCAGTTCCAAGAAAGCAGATTCTGTGGTCACATGCTGCTAGACCAAGCTGCAGTGTTGGTGAGAAAAGAGACCTCCAGCCTCCGTGGCCCTCGGAAGAGTTGCGCCATGCAAACTCGGCCTTGGGTTGGTTGATAGGGGGGCTTGGCTTTGCTGTTCAGTTTTTGTAGCTCCCTACCAACCTATCCCATTTGGCAGCGCCCGTTGCTATGCACGACACAATTATTGTCGGGCTGGACATTCTGAGGCTTGGTTCAGAATGTGTTGAGAAGAAAAAGAAGAAGAAGAAGAATGAGGCTGGGGCCGGCAATTTCAACAGCCATGACGGAAGGGAAAGATCGACAACATGCGTCCCCTGTCGTTAAAATGGGCAGGGGAACAAAGGACAATCAACACCACCAAGGCAGCGCTGTTCCAAGCCGCCCAGCCTCATCGCCCAAAGCGTCCAAGTCCTTCTGTTTCCGCATGTCGCGACCTGAGGGAACAACATGTGGCGTCTTCCGGGTACCACCCCTTCACCAGCCGCGAACCATGGTAAATTACAGGGGTTCCCCCGGTTCCCCAGTTGCAACAATTAGTACCTTGTCGCAATCAGCTCTTCAGGATGCTGAACCAAAGGCACTTCGGGAGAACCATCACTTCCGGGTCCGTTTCACTGCTTGGGATCGCGTTACCGCTTGCCGAGAGTTGCTTCCGAATTCAGGGTTGATTCGCAGCGTGTGCTGGGACAAATGCAATAGACTCGAACACAAACATGTTTCAAGGAGCAAGGCGCTGCAAACCTTGGCCTGTTGGAGCAGGTTTGTAGGGCAACAGTGAAGGGAGGATCACTCTGATTTCTCTATTAAAGTGCAACTGCTCGTGGCAAATGAGCCACGAGAAGGCAATTTTTGCACGATTTGGTGCCCAACGCATCCGCCTTGGACAAGCCGCAAAACCTGCTCAGGCTGAGCACACTCCCCCCACCCAAAAAAAAATACCCGCAAACCCGCCAGAAGGGCTTCCAAACATGGCATCTTTGAGAAAAATCCCGAGGCCGCCGCAAAAGGACATGTACTCCTGGAGCCACTCTTTCTGGCCGAGCGAGCCGATTTTGGGCCCCAGAGGACCAGAGGTGGGCTGTGAGCTTTGATGGGTTTGGTTTTGCGATCCGTTCAGGGCTTGGACCCAAGTCGGATGGCGCAGCCGTCGGTGAAGGCGCGGCATGCGCCCGAATGGATCTTTGCCCTATGTAAGAAGCCTAGCTTGCCAGTTGACTAGCAGCCAACCAGCTAGCTGGCTAGATGTTTAGCTTGCGTCCTGGTTGGTTAGCTTCCTGGTAGCTACCAAGTAAGCCAGTCAAGTGGCCAGCTTGCTAAACAGGTTGCCGGCTAGTTAGTCAGCTAGTCAGCTAGTTTGCTGACTAAGTGAGTAGTTCGAGTTAGCTATCCAGCTAGCTAGCTAGCTAGCTAGCTAGCTAGCTAGCTAGCTAGCTAGCTAGCTAGCTAGCTAGCTAGCTTCTAGGATAGCCAGTTAGCCAGCTAGCCAAGCAGGTCAGCATGCTCGCCAGCTTGCTAGACGGTTAATTCACTAGCTAGCTAGTGAGCTAGATGGCCACAGCTAGCAAATTCGTCAGCGAGCCGACGAAAGCGAAAAGCGCCGAGCTTTTGAGGGTTGACCTCGTCAAACCTGCATCAGACGGTTCCGCGAGCCAAGAAAAAAAGCGCGAAAAACTGCGAGTCTTGCGTGAAAGCCTGCAGAGTTCACCATTCGACGGTTGCGAAACCGTGCGCGCGGCCGTGCCGATGGTCCGGCTTCCGAGCCTGATCCGCACCCGCACCGAGTGTGGTCCGAGACCGCTTCCGTCGGTTTTGCATTTTTGCGGAAAGGACCTATGTGCGGGAATAGCGTTTCCTTCTGAACCCATCAGGGAAATTGTCAGATACTTCGCGCGGCTTTCCATTGGTTTCCGGTGCTTGCAGGTAAGGGGCTTGTCTTGCCAGCCAGGCCGGTCGAACTGATCCCAGCCCAATCTCTGGACCTATTGTTGAGAAGCTGCCCCCAGTGTCAGAAAACCATTGAGCAGCCCTAATCTGGGGCAAAAGCCTCCTCCCCCCGAGCTGTGGCGACATTTTATGCAGTACCGCATCTTCGAAAGGCTCTTTTAGGCCGTCAGAAAACTGGGTCGACTTCAATCCAGTGCAATTTTGCAACTCACGTTCCATAATGTTCCATGCGCCATTGGATGCGTGGAACGGAAATGAGTGCAAACTCGCTGGTAGTCTTGGAAATAATTTATCGTTCGTACATGACATGTCTCGTAGGTCTCCAATCTTTGAGGCCCGAAACATCTCAAAACTCGAAATTTGCTGGCACACAAAACACCGCAACAATGCCCTGCCGCGGTGCAGGTACACTGCTTCGCAGGCTTCAACCACTGCGTGGTACTGCGAGCTTTTGGAAAGCTTCAGACATGCCGTGGATCAATGGGTGAAACGCAACTTGTTCGGGAATTATTAGTATGGTGTAGTGGGCAGGGTCGAAATGAAGCCTCATGGCCAACTCTCGTAGCCTTCTGCCCTGGAACCGGTGGGGATCGTGTGTTGCCTTGTTGGTTTGCAATGGTGTGGGGCTATGAGTTCTGACATTTGCTCTAAGTTGCTGACATGGCCACACGCGAAGTGCATATTGGAAATCAAAGACACGACATGCTGAGCAAAACAAATAGTTGGGCTTGGCGGGTATACTGTGCTGGCTGCGCTTCGCCGGCTGTCACAGCGGGACCTTGGTGACGTGCAGCTCAGTAATCGACCCAAAGCGGTCGGCACGACGGGTTTCACGGGAGCTGGATCGGCTGGACCGCCTGGAGCGGGATCCACTGCGAGAGCTGCGGGAGCTGCGGGAGCTCCTGCGGCTCGGCTCAAGTGCCAGGGAATGTCCCAGAGCCTCCGGTAAGCTTCGGAGGCTCGATTCAGTCAAAGCCGCCTTTGGAATCACCATGCTCGCAACCAAGGAGTCCAGCACTTGGTCGCGCTCAGCAATAACTGATGCTGTCCGCTCGCCAAGGCCCAACAAATTGAAACTCACCGCGGCCTCCTGCATCGATAAACATCCCAGCTGACTTTTCCAATGGTTGGCTCATAGGTATGCTATGTCCATACTGGATAACATGATGTTGATACTTTCCTGGTAAGTACAGTCATGATTATGATATAAGCACGAAACGAGCAACCAACAGACTGACTGGGCTTCTTTTGGCACATTTGGGCGCTCCCTGGTCTGGTCCAGCTGCAGCTCCGCTTCCGCAGCGAGTTCGTTGCCTATGAGCTGCAATTGTTGGCTTAAGGAGAACCGAGTGTCCGGGCTTGCGATGTCCAGAATACAGTCCTCGATGCAACAACTCCGTTTAGAAAAACTAACCACAAGGCACTGCACTGCGCAGGAAGAAACATGCATGGGCTTTTGGTCCACTACTCTTCAAGTGTCTTCAACTTCAGGAACTTGAACTTCTAGAACTTGGGAACTCCTGCAGAAACCTTCCCGGGCCCTTTACATCTTTTGGTGGCAACAATGCCTTTAATGTTTATTATCTTCACTAATCACCACAGAGTTTCATGCAGAATTGCATGAAGCTGTCCATGTCAAAGTGCTGTTCAGTTCTTTCCAAGCATCCGGCACGCTATCACCCAGGAGCTGATGAGAAAGACGCTGCAGCTGATCACTCATGACGTGAACCTCGAAGGTGTACATATCGAAGACCAAAAACAGATCCTCATCCCCTCTGAAGGTGATTGGATGTGATGGAGCTGATGGACGACATTCCAACTCCTGTATCTCACGAATACCCACCAGGAAGCACCTGGCAGTGGGCCATGTCACCCCGGTACCCTAAACATCCCGAACATAAACCGACTTGATTACATTGAGAATAATTGATATGAACCCATGGCCTCTCACTTGTCAGGTTGTCGAACTGCACACAAATCAGTTCCACCTTCACACGGTTGAAATCCGAGTCCAACATGTCAGCATTCAATGCCACTGCGGACTGGCACGTGGAACTCCGAAGTTGCTCTGACACGCGAGCCCTGTCTGCCTCGTGAAAGAAGTCCAACAAAGCTGTCTCGCGCAAACCGCCTCCACGTCTTTGCGTTCGCAATAGCATGGAGGAGAGCTGCGGCGAATCCTCGCGTCCCAGCAAACTGCCAGAGTTCTCCCTGTCCCACGCTACGGGACCGTTTGGTTTGCGGTTGCTTCGTCTTAGGTGCGGTCCATTGGCCTGGCTAAGAATTTGAAACACGTAACCCCAAAGTGAAGCCCTGGCGAATGCAAACATTGCAAGAAGAAAACGGTGTTCACGCTCGTATCCTACACTCGAACGAGCGGCCGCCTACTTGCTTGAAGACAAACCGAAACCCTGGGATCCCCGAATACGTGGTAAGCATGTCCCGTTTTGCTTTTCACTCACATGCACTAAGACCTGCGGTCCCCTGGTGGTTTATGCTAGGGCTTCGCCAACACCAGCTGCGCTGGCCGGTCACCCAAGCACGCGCTCGCTGCCAACCCACACGCGCAAGAGGCTGCAAGGTTGCTTGCCCAACCCCCCTGACACTGAGCACGCGCTCCCTAGCTTGAGTGCATGAGTGCCTGCCCGCGTCGCGCGCGCACGGGTCTCACACCGAAAGCCAATGAGGCCCAAAAATGCATCCCCGGCAGCCCATCCACAGAAACCCGTGGAAAATGAGAAAAACACGGTATGTGCGAAGTTTGGCGCGCAGCGGCGGCGGCCGAGCTTGCGCAAGAAAAACCGCTCACTCGATCGCAGACTTGCCCGCCATGTCCGCCTACCGCCAACACCTACTCTCAGGGGGCCATTTCTGAAGGGCTTGAGCGATGCAGGGGATGCAGGGGATGTAAGCGATGCTGGAACGCCCAGATGCTGGCGACGCAGGCATGCCGGGGATGCTGGCGAAGTTTGCGAGGAAGCAGAGGATGCTGGCGGGGATGTTGGCGACGGTCCGGGGCGATTTGCACGGTATTTACAGCGCTTCTTGAAGGTCGGGCAACATGGCATCAGAAGCCCGTCGCAAGGCCAGGGAGGCCGGGGGATGTTTGGGGTCCAAGTGTTTGGGCTGGCGTGCGTGCAGGTGATGCAGGCAATGCTGAGGAAGAGCTTGGGGTGCAACAAAACACGTCAGCGGTATACCCTACGGGTAGGGTTGCCCTCGCTCTTCGAGCTCGAAGACACACAGCGCAGCTGGATTTTGCCCCATACCCACAACATGTTGAAACAAAGGGACGCCGGGCTTTTCACATACGACTTGAGACGAGGATCGTGACAAAGTCTCAAAGTGTGATCCACCTCTAGCACTGCATCGTAGCACGCAGTTAGCAAAGAGGAGACTGCTCCCAGCTCCACTGTCCGTTTTTGCAAGTCCATCTTCAGAGAAACATTTTGCAGTAGAAGCTTTCGCAGGCTTAAAATGCCTGCAAGCATCAACAGAAATATGGGGAACAGACCCTGGATGGTAATGACCGACCCGACGGCATCTTGAGAATCTTCAGATTGTCTGAGTAGTTGGACTGCTTGGAGAAAGTTGACGGTTGTGCACAAGACCACGCATGATGCGCGCATCGCCAGCACGGCATATAGGAAGCGACCAGCAAAGGTGAAGGCGATCACGTCCCTGAAGTCGACGCTGTAGGACATCGATGAGATTAAAATCGCGGCATCCACGACCAAGATCGTGGCCACATAGAAGACATCCTGGCTCCAGGGATTGATCAATCGTGGGCACCAAACCAGCACCAGACCCAGCGAGGCCACGCAGAGAAGTGCAAGATCAAAGGCTGGACGAGACCGATCCCCCAGTTGCACTGACAGCAACCGGGACATGTTGATCGCAAGACCCAGCCACCAAGCCCTACGTGTCCAGGTGCAGCGAATGCTCGCCAGTTCCTGCTCAATTTGATCCGAAGCATTTGCCTTTTCCAGGCACTGTGTTTTCATATTTGTCCAGTGCTCCAGTCCTTGCTTTTTGACACTGGCCCACATGGATCGAATGGGCCAGGTTCCTGGCCGAGAAGAGGCCGCC